TAGATATAATATTAAGCTACCACCTGATGAAGTCCCGCCAAGACAGAAACAACTGTTGTCGTGGAACGGCGATTAATTCTAATACACACTCCACACCCACACCCACACCCACACTTACACCCACACCCTGTTTCGATTATCATGATTGAAAGTTCAATAAACTTAGAGTGCGCATGTCCCAAAATCCAAGTCATGCATTGAAAAAATGTAAAGAGTCTTGAAAATAAGCTAATTACTTTGATTCCTCACAAATGATCAAGAGCGTAAGATGAAAATGAAGCAAAATAATATAACAGACAATTTTTGATTTTCTTGTAATAATCAATTATTGGAATAAAGCTATTTTATTATTCATAAGACTATTGCATTGATTTCGATTTGTCGAAATATTGAAACTTGGGAAAACAGAAATCATGTAAACCTAATGAAAGTAACCAAACGATCTCAGTTTCTTGCGAAATAATCAAATTCAAGAAACTTTTTAACGAATATTTTGAAACTAATGCGTTAAATACAACTTAAATCATTTTTTTATACTTTGAGTATTGTCTGAAAGTCCAAAAATTAATATTTTGTTTATTCATCAGAAAAAAAATTTGACATTGATTTGTAATCTGCTCAAATATGTAAACATTAATGTATATTTTCATATCGTAAAACAGCAAAGCCCTGACAGAAAGCGAAAAAACGAGACGTTTCTTGACAGAATGAAATAAACGCGATGATGAGCACGTTGAGAAAAAAAACAATCTACCGGTTAAAAAACGGTTACCTTATGAAAATGTCACACTTCATTGATTTTCATAATTATATGTTAGTGGAAAAAAACCCAGTAATTTTGTCAACGATAAATATGAAGAAAAATCAGTAGCGACCGCAACATATAGTCCTGTATATTTTGGAATCACTTATTAGGTAAGTATTTTTGATTTTCGGCATTATATAACTATGTCCAAGCAATAAAAAGCCGGAATTAAAATATGAAGTTTTTGCTTTTATTTTTATAGCATGATGATGTGTTCTCTTGTTTTATATATATATGTACTATAAACTGATATTGATTGCTCATATATTTACCATCATAATATTCTAGTGGTCCTCTAATTATACTGTATATCTTAGACTTTCATTCTTTTGTATGTGTACATACAGTGGGGGCCAATTGAAATTCCCCATATTGTTTTTTTTTTTTGTTTTTGTTGCTATACTTCTTTTTTATTTTTTAATCTACTGTATATCACGAGAAAGCCCGGAACGCGCTGCATTATTTGCTCTTTGTGTATTGAACATTAAACGTAGTTTAAAGAGTAAAAAATGTATTAGAAAAAAAAGTGACATTTTTTTTTACTACAAAATACATTGACATCTATTATGCATTTCAAGTAAAAGAAGGTGGAGTATTTTTGGAATGACTTTTGATAGATACAAGGTATAGATCTGTAGTTTTCACCATTCGAAAGAGGAGACGAATCTGCAGCAAAACTTATATTTCAGATTTTTTTTGAGAAACTTTTCCAGGATCTTCACTCAAGTTTTCTACAAATCGACTGTTTTTTCGTATGTTTTGAGAAAAAATACAGTCGGTTTCTACAAAAATCGACTGAAGACCCTAGAAAAGTTTCTCAGAACAATCTAAAATATAAGTTTTGATGCAGATTCATCTCCTCTTTCGAATAGTGAAAACCGCAAATCTCTATCTTGTCTCTATCAAAAGTTATTCCAAAAATACTCATTCCTGAGTGATGTCGATGTATATTGTAGTAAAAAAAAATGTCACTTTGTCTTCTAATACATTTTTTATACTTCAAACTGTATTTGATGCTCAAAGTACAGATACCAAAAGATGCAGCGCGTTCCAAGCTTTCTCGTGATATATAGTAGATTCAAAAATTAAAGAAGTATAGTAACAAAAACAAAAAAAAACAATAGGGGGAAATTCAATTGGCCCCCACTGTATATGATTTCAAAATGTAGTGATTATCACATATTATTACAAACTTAATTTTCATTTGTACCCTAAACCATGTTTAATACATTTGTTATATGGTATACATACATAACATCATGCCCTATTATATTCCTGAATAAATTTTTATACTATGCTCTCTTTTTTTTTATAATCACATACAAAGTTCCCCTATTGGTACAGAAACTATAACAACAATGCTAACAAGTGAACTTCATTGTCATTGTAGAAAAAAAGGAAAGCATAATATAAAATTTATTCCGGAATATATTAGTACATAGTGTTATGTATGTCCCTTGTACAATTTTTTTGCAATTTAACGAAGTTTTGTGACGTGAAAATTCGTCAAAAATTTAACGATGTAACAAAAATTAATTTTATCTTTCTGACACCTAAAAGGACGTTAAATACGCGAAAATTTAACTCATTTTCTTTCGTTAAAGAAAGGTTCGTTTAACGTGTCTTTATGCGTTAAAAAAAGACTGTTTAACACGGGTGTGGGTATTTTCTTCCACCAGACTCATACCAACACCCGCGCACACACCCACACCCAAGATGTGGGTGGTGTCGGTACCTGTGTGGGTGTGGATGTGTGGGTGTGGGTGTGGATGTGTGGGAGTGGGTGTGGATGTGTGGGTGTGGGTGTGGATGTGTGGGTGTGGATGTGGATGTGTGGGTGTGGCTGTGAATGTGTGGGTGTTGGTGGAGTGTGGGGCGTGCCTGTGTGGATGTGCGTGCGGGTGTGGGTGGCGTGGGTGTGAGTGTGGTTGAAGAAAATACTCACACTCACACCCTTTATGACCTCTTCGTGATTGTGGATATTGAGATCGAAGTATCGAAGTAGTGTAAAAGGTAATTTCTTAAGGCCCCCTCCCTCAAAAATCGATCTCAGTCCAGGTACGTTCAAATGGGCTGAAATTTGGAGCATATGTTGGGGCTGAAGTGAGGAGGCTGCGGTGAAATTTTCAGCTCGATACCCTGACGTTTGACAGAGATATGAACCAAACAAGCGTCAAAAAAATAGTTCATCTCATCTCCAAGAATTCTCTGTGGATCCTCATTATATACATATATTTTTTTTGTTTGCAAGCTTGTCTCTAGAGCTAGCCCACCTCGTGGCCCTTTTTTTAAATTCATACTTTTTAAGCGAAGGAAAGGGATGACAAGTTCAATGACTCAAAAAACCCCTAAAAAATAGGGCTTTTTCTGTAGAGATGGCTTTTTAGATAATAATAAAAGGGCTTATTTTAAGAAAAGGGCCACGAGATAGGCCAGCCCCAAACACCAGCTTTCAAACAAAAAAAAATATTTGACTTTATATAGTACCGCGATGGAATGGCGTTGGAGATACTCCGTCGAACCCATGTTCTGAGAAAACTGCTAAAGAAGTTTTAGCAATGGATTTTTTCATTCAAGTGCAGGAAATAATGGTATATTGATAATATATATGGGGAATTTTTGAAAGCACGCAATAGATGGCGTAAGCTAGTACTACATGTCGCACTATATGATATAAGAATGTTGATTCCATGCTGATAGAAGTAAAACAGTAATCTTCCCCAAAATAACAAAAACCGCGAAAATCTCTCCAAAAACGGGGTAGTGAGGTGGAAATCTTCTACGAATGTCTGTAAAAATTTGACTTTTTTTTAAAAATTCATATATATTCTGAAAGAGGAAACTTCGCTGCATCTTTCTATGATAAAAACTCGACTTCGATTACTTT